AGGTGCATCCGCTTTATGCAAGACCTCATGGGTTTCTTTCTTCGAACTCTCCTTCACAATTCTTTCATCAACAATGGCTTTCCCTTTCGACACCTCAACTTCCTCATCACCCGGCCCATCATCATCCTTATCAACAACAATTTCAACAACCTCATCTTTCTCGGGCATCTCAACACGATTGTCAATCATCTTACCGTTCCTCAAGACCGTGATGTGTTCAAGTGCTCGGGTTGGCTCGGAAGCTTGTCTTTCATTTTGCTCCTTTGGATATCTCCGATGGAACTCCCGAGTTGCCCCACTTACGTCTCGAGGCATTTAAGAGAGGCTTGAATCGATGGCACTCCCTTGATGGTGTCGTGCAATGTGAAAACGGTGGAGGCCAATGATTGAAGGCACTTCTCCAAGCTTTCGATCCGAGTCTCCGAGGATTCTCCGTTAGCATTCTTCTCAGGCTCGGGTAGAGGTGGCAAAGGTTGCCTCGGGATGAAGCCTCCACGCCCTTGTGGATATCCTTGAAACTCGGGCCTCGGTTGATAGCCTTGGAATTCGGGTTGTGGTTGGAACGGTGGTCGGTTGTTCGGTTGGGCATATTGTTGAGGTTGGGAGTAAGCTTGTTGTGGTGCCGGTTGAGGTGGGTAGGTAGCTTTTGGGTCCCTCCATGAGAAGTTAGGGTGGTTTCGCCACCCAGAATTGTATGTGTTCGAGTAAGGATCGTTTTGGACCCGGGGGGCGTACCCTTGAATAGCATTGATGTCGTAGGTAACTCCTTCAAGATTTGGGTCGTAGGCCGGCACCATATAATTCGGACATTCGTGGCCTCCATGGCCGGCCTCTCCACAACAACCGCACACCTCGGCCATCACAACTTGGGTCGATTTTGCATCTCGTAGCCGGAGTTGTTTGAGCTCTTCTTCCAAAGCTTGGCAAGAACGGCATCGTTCGAGGTCCCGGTAGTTTGCGTAGCCTCATTCACGGGGGCCCTCTTACGAACGCTCTTTCTTTGCAAATTTTCACTCAACATCTCGTACAAATTGTAGATTTCCTCCTCCGTATGGCTCCCTATGTCTCCACCGGCCGCATGATCGACCATGTATTAGAGGGTTTGGTGGAGACCGTCATAGAAAAATTGATTGAGCACCCCGAGGCAAAAGTGATGATGTGGGCATTGGAGTTGATAGCCCTTGAATCGTTCCCAAGCCTCGTGGAAAGTCTCACCGATATTTTGGCTAAAGCTAGCCATTTGAGTCCGGAGGTCGGTGGTCTTTTGATGGGAGTAGTACTTGCTCATGAACTTCTCGTAAACGGCTTCTCACGTGTTGAGCGAGCTCGGAAGCAATGTCATGAACCAAGTCTTGGCTCGGTCTTTCAAGGTATATGGAAAGCACCTCATGCGGAGTTGATTTTCGGTTAGGCCTTGGAGTGGGAATGTGTTGACGGTTGCATAGAAATCTCGGATAAAGTTGAGGGCATCCTCTTGAGCTAGGCCGTAGAATGATGGGAGTTGGTTCAAGTGAATGGTCTTGAGATCATAATTTCGGGACGCTTCCCCGAGCACGAGACATGATGTGTTGTCTCCGATGATAGGCCGTGCAAAATATCTCATGTTCGGGGGAGGTTGGGGAAGTTGCTCATTTTGATTCGCCATTGGTTCGGGTTCCGGTTGAGGTTCGTCTATGTCGGATTCAACTATGAGGTCGACCGGTTGAGTCTCCTTTCGGGGTTTACGCCCTCGTCTACCTCGCATAAACAAAAACGACAACTATACTCGGTGAACGTACCAATGGGAAGCAAGGTAAGCTAAAGCAACAAACACAACTATAGACAAAAAGCAAGAGAAATCGAGAGAAACACGGAAATTACGCAAAAATCACAAAATCAAGAGAAACACGAGAAAAAGAGACAATCAACTAGCAAACTAGGCGTCCTACTTGCCTTCCCCGGCAACGGCGCCATTTTGTTGAGTATAGATTTGATGGGCAAGGGGTAACCGAGCTACCCGACTCGGGTCGATCTCAAAGGAAGGCTATTCGGAGCTTCGTCTAGTAGATGATCGTCAAAAATCACAAAAAGGGAAAATAAAGTCCTAAACATTCTAAGCAATCGATTTGGAAGTTGATTAACACTAACGAGCACTTAACAACGAGCGATTAATTGAAAGCAAGATCAAAAGACGAGCAATTCACAATCTAGATCACCGGAGTCTCATGCCATAACCAATACGGGATGATAATCAATCGACATACGGAATAAACGAGCTACGAGCATTAGATTGCTAATCCTAGTCGTCTAACCGAGATCAACAAGCAATTAACGGCTCTATCTACTCAAGCAAGCAATCAAGTTCAAGCATTTCCACCATCATCAATCAAATCCAATTTACTCTAATAAACATTATAAGTAAAACCGGAGCAAAAACGAAGTAAAGAGCTTTAAAACTAAATACTCAATCTCCCATTGCGTAGACGACGAAAAACGGAGTCAAAAGCTCGAAACTTGAATGAAACCGAAGTCGCCGGAAAATCTCTCGGAAAATAGCATAAGCTCCTAATCTAGAGAGCAAAATAAAATAAAAGCTGATTTCTCAAAATGGAAAAATGAAAAAATGAAAGTTGGATCCTCAAAATGCAAAGGACAAAATGTATTTATAGTCTAGCCCAAACACACACTAAAACACACACATTAAAATGGGACACTCTCGATCACGCCGGAAAATTCGCGAGCACGCGGGCAATGGCTGGCGCACTCTCGATGGCGCGGGGACAAGGGCGAGCTCACGGGCGTGTGCAGTGCGGGCGTATGTGGGGCTCTCGATGGCGCGGGCAGATTCGCGCGGTCGTGGACGCGCGCATGAGCATCAGCAGTGCGGACACTCTCGATGGCGCGGCGGTTTCCGCGAGTCGCGGACAGCAGGTGTAGGCGCGCTGGGGCGCGGGGCTCTCGACCACGCGAAAGTCTCCGCGAGCACGCGGACTGGCCTGGACGTGCAACAGCGGCGCTCTCGACCACGCGGACGGGCACAGGAGCACGCGGATGTGCACTGGCAGGGGCTCTCGACCACGCGGACGGGCGCGCGAGCACGCGGATGGGCACTGGGCGCATGACAGCGGCGCTCTCGACCACGTGGAAGCTTCCGCGAACTCGCGAGTCTTGGTGCGTGGGGGCGTGCGGCTGTTGCATACGTGCGGGCGCGAGGTGCGTGGGCATGTGCGTGTGCGCGGCGCGTCCGTGTTCGACTAAGGCTCGACATACTCGACCGGAAATGTTCGTAAAAATGACTTGGCTTGGCTCGGAATTGACTCGAGTTTCTTTTCATCCTCGACATAGACCTGAAAATATATCAAAAGCACAGACAAGTACGCCAAGATACAAAATAAAACGAAAAACACAAAAACACTCGGAAAATGACAAAATGGACCGGGCGACACTAAAACGAATCTAAAAATGACTCGATAACACATATAAATACATAAAAATAAGCACAAAAACATAACAAACAGCACACACACACACACACACACTATAAATTGCCTTATTGCCACATTGTTGCTGAACGTAAACTAACTTGGTCGTCAGAGTGTTTCTCCGCCAGCACCCCTCCAGGCATTTTGGAGGTCATCGGAGACGTCAAGACGGTTCAAATCAGTTCAAACCGAATCAGAGGATAATTTGCGCAACAGACTGTCTCTGAACGATGTTATACTTCTTCCGCTTTTGTTGTCGTGGACATGTCGCACATCCATGTTGGCTCAACGTTTTCAAAACTTAATTTATGAAAATAAGAGTAAAAAAGAGCTAAATATTGGATAATCAAATCTAATAAATGCTTATAAAGTGCTAATAAAATAGCTAACGAACAAAGAGATTTGCTATTTATAAAATAGAAGAGATGAGAAGACGAGAAATTATGCGAAAAATGAGTAGGATGAAGAAAGTGTTTATTGTTAATAACAGACTAGTGGATTGTGTAAAATCGGGTAATCAATCGTTCAACGGCTACTATCGCGACTTGTGGCCATTACACGGGTGAAATTCGAATTAGATTTGAAAACCCAAGGTCAATTGAATTCTACGAACCCGTCAACAGCTTGAAACCGCTTGAAGTGGCCTTATGTAGAGGTGGCAAGGGTCGGCCCTGCCCTCCGACTCGGCCCGGATTTGGCCCAGACTTATAGGTCTTAGAACCAGACACGTGGTAAAATATGGCCAGTACCGGGTCCTAGTTCTGTTTATTTGACCTGCCAGCTCCAAGCCGAAAGACGAGTCAGAGTTGTTTTTTTATGTTTTTATTTTTAATTTTTTTATTAAAAAGAACTGTTGGTTCAATGACCGCTGGATCGGGCCAGTTCAATGAACCTGCATGCAGATGTAGCCGGGCCGATTCCAGGTCCAGCTCTTGAGGTCCGGTGAACCTGTCAGGCCGGCGTGAACCGGCCCGGCTGCTTTCCATCTCTAGCCTTATCCTGTAAATGTAAATTTCTTAAACATAAAATAGGAAAAATAAATAAATAAATAAATAAAATAGGAGATTTGTACAGAGCGGTGGTCCCACCTTGGTATTACATTACATTACGTTTACGATGTGTACCATGTTGTTTAGTTAGCCAATTGTTTGTGGCCCACCAAGTTATACCCTAACCGAATCAGCAATCGACAACGCATATGTCCTTTTTGGTGCATCCAACACATCCATAAATTCACTCACCACAAACACAAAGACAGCAAAAACAGAACCAAACCTTTGTTTTAAAGAAGAAACAACAAATACACACTCACCTTGGAACAACACTGAATATGGAAAAAATCACCACCACTCCATAAAAGCTTGTCAACAAAGCTAGCTGTCTATCTTCTTCCTCTTCTTTCCCAATTTTAATCATCAATGGCTTCCGACCGAGTGCCCGATTAATTAACACGAATATGCAAAGGGATTTATTTAGGGTTTATCGAGCTTGATTATTATTAAAAAAAAAAAAAAAAAAATTAAGAATCCGTAAGAAGAGATGGGGCGAGGGAAGGTTGAGCTGAAGAGGATAGAAAACAAGATAAGCAGGCAAGTGACTTTTTCGAAGAGGAGATCGGGTCTGCTTAAGAAGGCTAATGAGATCTCAGTTATGTGTGATGCTGAGGTTGCTTTGATTGTTTTCTCTAACAAAGGGAAGCTCTTTCACTACTCTTCTGAGCCCAGGTATATAATAAATAATGGAAGATGCTACGGTCCCGTTACGAAACCATTCTATCGGATTTGTAACCGTTAGATCAACTATATGCGACGGTTACATGATGATCTAACGGTTACAAACTCGACGGAATGGTTCCGTAACGAGACCTTAGCTCTATAATAATATATCTATCTTTCTGCCTTCTTTTCTTTAATATTATAATATAATACATAATTTTTTTAAAAAAAAAAAAAGAAAAGCACATATATTTGTTTATAAAATTTTATTTTTATTTAAAAAAAATATATCAATTTTTTTTCTCAAGATTTTTTGTTAGTTTGCGAATAGTTAGTAGTAAAGAGATGCTCTATATTACTGTATTTAGTTTTCTTTTTTTTT